GCACCTCATTTTCATTTGCACCCCAGAGCAGAGACCCCTGTCCTTTGAAATCGTGAGACATGATACAAAATGGCAAAGCATTTTTTAAAGAAGTTTTAACTCTGGTGTTTTGTCCCTGTTTTTTTTTTTTTCAGGCACGTAAGCAACTGCTTACAAACTGTATGATGTATCCTGTTTGTAAGCTGCTGCACTGATCTATGAAAATTAACGAAACGGGAGATGACAATAGCCTGGCATTACAGTTGCTCTCGAATTGATGTGATGCTCTTAACCCGTGTGAGTCAGCACAATCAGCACGAACACCGTTTACGGAACAATTCAGAGGGGCAGCACTTAGCGGCGGCTCTCCGGTGTTTGAAGGGTGCTGAGCTGGAGCGGTGCTTGTCATCTCGGCGCTGGCCAGGGCCCGCGGCTCGATCAGCAGGACCGCTCTGCCCAAGGGCTCTCGAGCGGCTCCGCGCTCACGCTCGCGGGGGGCGGGGGTGGAAAGGCCGCGCGGCGTTGGCCGGCTTCCCATCAGCCCCCGTTCCGGCCCGACCACCGGGCCAGCTGAGGAGGGATCCGCCTGGGAGGTAGAACGGGAGATAAAACAGAACCGGGTTTTCTTAACTGCGTGGGATCCCTGCAGAGCGCAGAGAGAGAAATAAATGCACTCAGCCCTGCGCTGGATGAAGCTGAGCTCCTCTCTGGCTACAGTGCAGCTCTCAGTAACTATCGGCCCACTGGCACAACCGTCGTGCCAGCTGATGAGCCTTCTTCAGGTGTGTGAAGAAGGCTCAGCGGCCCAAACGTTGCATTTCTCCTTTCCGTTTTTCAGGGTGGAATTAACCCGCACTTGTTCTTTTTATCAGTCAGAACAGCCGATCCCTGACGCTGATCCCCGCTCAGACATCCACTCGTTTAGTTCTGATTGTCGTTTCCGTGACCTTACGTGTGATACAAATCACACTTACTGGTCTGCAGTGACTTGGTTCGGTTTTATCACCACATTAGTAATTGTCAAGTCTCTGAGTACAGCCTTGTCATGAGTGACTCTGGGAAGTCTCGATTTAACAGCTTGTGAATAACACCTTTTGTGTCCTTACTTTCTGTACAATAAGTAGAAACCATCAGGCCCTGGGCATTTGTCTCAAGTGCTCTCCTCACTCATTTGTGTTCATGGCCAGCTCTTCTTTCAGCTCTGTGACAGTGGGTCCCCTCCTCACACAGCCAGTGTATGGCTGAGTTACTGAACACAGCCACAGCTTGCAGCTTCCCTCACAGGCCCTACTGACAAGTTAACTGATCTTGCATGTCTGCCAGGCGAAATGTAGAAAGACATATGATCAGATAGAGCAGTGAAATCAGTAAAATCATCTGTATCAGATTTAGCCCTCTCTTTCATTGAATACGTCCCAAAGGGGACAACCAATCTGCTGCTCCTGTCTCCAGAGGCCCAGCCCCTCGACCTCCTGTCAGAAACCAGGGGGGACATTGCTCTGACTGGCTCATGTCCTCCCTCCCTGGGTAACAGTAGGGTAGCTGTGTGGTTCAGGGACACGACAACCCAGCTCAAGCAACACCTAACTGCAAAGCATGCTTCTTAGAAGACAGTAACACATTGTTTGTTCTAGTGTGGAACATGTCTGAATGTACTGATTTAGATTCATTTATATTTTATAACATTTGTTACTGAATATTAGAACTGTGACAGTCAAGAAACATACTTGTAGTCTCAGAAATTGGCAGGTTGTCCAGAAGGTGGCACTGTGTTCTCAACCACTGCAACCTTTAGATGTTAGGAAAAGTTTTAAACTGCAGCAGTTTTAACTTTTGAGTCTTTTTTTTGCCTGGACTTGTGTTTGTCCATCTTCTTTAGTCGAAATATTAATTCAATATTAATGAATAATTGTAGTCATCACATTTTCTGGAGGAACAAGACATCCATGCAAATCAGATTATCAGAAGAGCCTCTTGCAGGTGAGGCACAGCTGACTGCTTTTAGATGAGACCGGTTTTTCACAGAGCTGTGTTTGGCTTCCCATCCCTGCAGCGCATGTCTGTCACTGTTTGGAGGTTTCCTTAGAGAAAGGGCCACCCACAGGTGGCAGATACTCACCTTCTGGATGTCAGTATTTGGCAGTGATCTCTATAGGTTTCTGTAAATGTATGAACCTCATGTCACAGTTTTGTTTCCTCTGGGTAGAACACCATACGTGCAAAGCAGAAGTGTGGGCGAGAACGGTGAACCGGTGCCAGGAAATATTGATCATGCCCACTTGCACACAGCCAGGAGCTTTGTTTTGCGAGGTGGGAGGTGCAGAGCGGGCAGCAGCTGCACAGGCTGCCGGCTCAGATCACAGGAGGCCTGGACCAGCTCTGATCGGAGCAGGGTTCGAGGGGTCTCCTAGCTCCTGTGGATCCACGGTACATGAGGCACGCTCAGCCCACGCTGAAATAGTGGCTGATGCACAGCCCACGTAGTCTGTTTCCCGTAACAGAGAAAGG